AACCCAGTCTGTCCAGCTATTTACCCATAGCTGAAGGGAAAAAGAAGAGGATTCACACCTTTCCAAAGGGTATTAGCACGTGAGTGAATGTAATGGGTTCGACTGGATTTCGAACTCGGCTCTCCGATTCCTCAAGTCGAGCTGCTATCCGTTACTCCACCGTATCGATATTTAGCTTCAAATGAAAAAAAAAAGGCTATCTCCTCCTGCGGCAAAATGTGCACTGACAGAGCAGAATAATTTCAGTCACTGTGCGTTTTAACGAGCCGATGCATCCCCACGAGTGGCCTAGGGCTTACTATGGGCGATTTTATTGAGTTTCCATCTTTGGAAGGGTTACCGATCAAGATGATAGAATCCAGCCTGTCCGGCTATTGAACTGTAGGAGACGGGGGAAGATGGATTCATACCTTTCCCAAGGGTATTTGTGCGTATGTGAATGAAGCGAACTCGGCTGGGATTCGAACTTGGCTCTCCGATTTCTCACTCCGAGCTGCAATCCGTTGCACCACACGCTTGAAATGACACCAGATCAAATTTAGAAATCTCCGGTGGAAAGGTAGCTACACTATTCTTCCAAGCCCACCTGCCTATTAACCAAATAAATAAGCAAATCAGTATTTAGAAAGCTTGTTTTTTTTACCTAGACTTGAACACCATCCTGTAGCAATTATGGCTCTCCACACTTTCCTGTCTTTTGTAGCTGTTAGTATTTGTTTTTTTTTGTTATCTCTCCCAATCCCTGTTATGCCAACCATTTTCAGAGGCTTGTTAGGTAGGTTATGTATTGCTTTCCTCTGTCCTTTCGGAATATGGATGATCATGTCTCTCCACAATTTCCTGTCTTTTGTAGCTTTTAGTAATTTCTATCTTTTTGCTATCTCTCCTAATCCCTGTTATTCCAACCATTGTCAGAAGCTCATAGGGTATGTTATGTGATGCTTTCCTTTGTCTGTTCAGAATGTGGGCGATTTTTTATTGATCTGAGAGATTTTTATCACTTTAAATGTTAATTTTAATGTATTTGCGAAGGTACTTGTTTATTTATTAAACTGTATATTTATTCATTTTTCTCTACTGGCACGAATATTCGAGAAATTTTATTAAAGAAAAAGTTGCACTATCTGACTGGATTTGAACCTACGTCTCTCAGAGTAGTGGGAGCTTCCGTTAAGCCTCGCAAGCCTTAACCAATTTGGCCACAAAGAACAGTCGGTCAGGCGAGTCCAAATTTAGTGTCCAAGTGAATTTTTTTTTTCCCGTCATAGAATCTTTCGAAGTTTGTTTATTTTTCTGAAATATTCGGACCAACAATCGAAGATGCAAATAAATCGATTGATTAATTCAATCCTCGTCTCGACAGCACTTACAGAGATAATTTTGAGATTTAAAAAGAATAGCTCACTGATTAAAACAGATTATCGTCCTTATTGTTGGGATAGATTTAATGATTTGTGAAATATTACCAAAAGAAAGACCAGTGCCAAGCGAGCGGACAATCTATTGGTCATGACAGAAGTCTAAAGGAATTCCCTTCCAGTGATAGAAGCAGTATGATTAATAAAAAAACCCCAAAACTATGGAAACAAAACATGTACTTTAACAAGAGTAAACAGATTTCAAATCACCTCTCTCTTTAAAATCCTCCTATTGCACAAGTACATACTTGTAAAATCTACAACAGCTAAATAGTATCTCAAATGTTAGCTTAACAAGGAAGACGTATCTGACACGTTTTGTTTCGACCCTTGTTTGCTTGTGAAGCTTTTCGTAGCCGAGTGGTTAAAGCAAGACAGTGGTTTCTCCTGTAAAGGGGATGCAGGTTCGAATCCAGGCTAAAGGGAACATTTTCTTTAATACGTTTTCTCGAATGTGTAGGTCGGTCGACAAAATAGTGTTTAAAATAAAACGGGGTGTCTACTGAAATACGGCTATCTACTAAAGATAATGTTTGATGTAATAAAAATGACATCATATGTAAATTCTGTTCACTCCGAGGTTGACCAGTTCATCAGCGCATGGTATTGGTTCTAGAGTTCGTTTGGTAGTCGATTAATATTCTGTAGTGAGTTTAATCTTCACTGAGCGCCGACAACTTGCAACCTTGTACCAGACTAAGTAGCTTTCCACTGATAAAATCGTTTTTTCTTCTTCTTTTCACCAACTATTTGTAATATTTTTCGATGCGACAATGGGAAAATCTGGTAAAAGTTTTGTGATTTAGAGCGTAGAAATCCTACCCACACCTCTAGTACATGACACGACTATCCATTATATATATATATATATATATATATATATATATATATATATTCACACTCTATCTATCTATCTATCTATCTATCTATATATATATATATATATATATATATATATATATATATATATATATATATATATAAATGAAATGAACTAAGTCCGACAATTATTTTAATACATTTATTGTTTTTACGTTATTTTTCATAGATACAAATATTTATAATAATCAGACCATTTATTTAAATATTTGTATCTATAAAAATAACGTATAAACAAATCTATCTATCTCTCTCTCTCTCTATATATATATATATATATATATATATATATATATATATATATATATATATATATATATATATATATATATATATAAATAATATATTTGTAGAAGAGTGCTAATATCGAAGACAGAGTATTTATAAATATAGACAGTGTAGACACAGGAATCAATACTAAATGGTGACTGTCAATTTCGCGCTTCAACGCGATATTTAGACCAAGTCTTGATGTGTGTGTGTGCGCGCGCGCGCCGGCGCATACGTTTGTTTGTATTGCCGAGAATAAATATGTACAAAGCCTCTCTCGTCCGGTTTCCGTTCTCTGTGTGTGTGTGTGTCTGTGTGTTCACGCGCTCGCCTCGTCAGGCTCCAGAAGCCGTTTAACTGGTTTGTTGAAACGGGAATTCAAAAAGTTTATAACAACAAAAGTCATTTCGAATTTAGAAGCGACTTAGTGTATTTAATCATGTTTTTATTTTTTATTTATTTTTTATTTTATTTTCCTGTCGCCTCTTCGACTTGAAATAAAGGGTCAGCGAGACTGGACCATAACCAGTGCTTTCTCTTGAAACGAGATCTCGTTCTCTATGTCCATTAAGCTTCTGCTGTCCGTCAATAAGTCGGGGATGGTCAACTTTTACTTTTTCGATTATTTTTTTTTTTTTTTTACTACCAAACCAACTATATCGATTTATTACAACGTTTGCATCGTAAAGGTTTTTTTTTTTTTTGATACTTCATGCTGACTCCTTCGACTTGCGTGTTAAAACAGAAAGCGCTGTTAACGCCCACCCCAAAATTCAGAATTCGAAAGAAATTTCTACCCCCTAATTATTAGATACACCAACTTATTATGCCCGTCTGTTGCGTTCATTTTCGCAGTGACGCTCTTCGGAAATGGTATAAATCTCTATTTTCTCTCCTCCAGCTATCGATTAAATAGCAGGGTAGACTGGAATCTCTAGCCTTGGTTTGCAATCATTTTAAAAGAAGGAAAACTCCGAGGAAAAGGGACAGACAGTTACTCCACCATCTTTAGCAAGAATATATAGCTATTCACAGATAACAAAGAAAAGGAACCTGCGGAGTCATGATCGTCTACGTCTGAAGGAACATGGCATTATATATATATATATATATATATATATATATATATATATATATATTCAAACGTAATTATTAGTGGATACCCGTATTTAAGTAGACGCTCCGTTTATTTAAACTGTGTTTATTTTGTCTGCCGGCTTTGCACTCCAGAAAACTTAATAAAGAAAATGTACCGTTTTGTCCGGCAGACTAAATAAGCACTGTTTAAATAAACGGAGCGTCTACTTAAATACGGGTATCCACTAATAATTACGTTTGAAATAAAAAATAAATCGGATTAAAAATGAAATCCATTAATTCTTTGGAAGGTAACATCGATCAGATAAGTGAAAAAAATCTATATATTAGGTTGGTGCATAATTATCAGGCATTTTCGAAACAATATTTATTATGAAAAAAGAAACATAACAATTCATCAGTAACATTTTAAAATGATTATTCCGGAGCATATGATTATCGATACGTATTTTTATAACCTGAAAATAAAATAATATTTTTATTAAAAAAGTAAACAAAACAGCAATTTTTATTAAGAAATAACGCGCCCACAAAAACGCCTGATAATTATGCACCAATCCGATATATATAAATTTTAACGGAATGTGATTTAAGCTTACAGTGTAGGGTACCCGATGAGGATAGAATTCATTACTTTGCTTAATCAATTACTCCACACCGTTGTACATTGAATTTAGTGGGACATAATTAAGTCCTTTTAGTTTGTTTATTAGTAGAGGAAAGGAATGTAGGCCATAAGATGTGAGGTCTCACTCCAAATTCCTGGAAATCCGACACTTGTGTATACTCTGTACTTTAGCTTTTCTTTGTTTGTACTTAAATATTTTTTATTTGTTTATTAAATCCGAATTGATACAAATAATTTAAAAAAAAAAGAATTGATTAAATAGGATATAACTTGTTATGTGGGCCTGAAGACGGTGTTAAATTGTGTGTATATAATTTGGTAAGTAAAATGAGAAAGGCTTTGAAAGTCGACTGTTATTAATTACGTGAAGTGGGTGCGACTGGAAGTTTTCATTAAAGAAATGAGCAACTGGTTTGTGGATTCATTTTAATTTGACGTTTGTTCTCTGGGGGTCTGCTTCCACACTCCTCCTACACCCACTTCGTCATTTGCATCTGGGCTTTAATCTAGTGTGTATGATTGCAAGTAGACTTTGTATAATTGTGTATATGGGTGTGTGTCTGCGTGTACACGCGATAAACGAGTATTTAAGAAGAAATATCTGTGCGTAATTGTGTACTTTTTTCTTTTTTTTTTTTTTTTTTACAATGTATGATTCTGTAAGAGGGTATATATTTTGTATTTCTCTCTTTTTTTTCTACGGATTCACGGCCACATCACGTTGAAACACCGATTCCCGTACGATCACCCAAGTTAAGCAACGTCGAGCCTGGTCAGTACGTAGATGTTTGGGAATATCAGGTGCTGTAAGCTTGGATGTGCAGGTGGTGTAATGGCTAATGGTTCGGAATTATTAATCGGAGAACCGAGTTCCAATACCCGTTGGTTTCGTGATATTCACTTACGCGCAAATACCTTTGGGAATGGTATGGATCCACCTGTTCTCCCCCAGATATGGGTTAATTAGTAAGACTTGTGTCACTATCTTACAAAAAAATCCTTACCATCTCTAAACATATTTCCTGGCCTTAAATAACCTGCAAAGGGTTGGTAAAGCGTAAAAAATGAATCAACTAAACTTTTTCTCTACAACATTGAAATAAACCTATCCATTTAAGTGATCTGTAGTTTTAAATAAAAATGTTCCTCGTGTAATTTCTTTTCGTGGTGGTGGTGGGGGGTAGCTATAGAGATTGATTTGATTTTTACGGTTTATCAACCCTTTGTGGGTTATTTAAAGCAGAAATATATTTAGAATTTTAAGAATTTTTTATTTTGTAAGTAAATATTGTATTAACAATTTTTGAGAATAAGTCGTTTTCCGGATAGAAGTCCGACTATTTAACCCATATCTAGAGGGGATTCATACTATTCATAAAGGTATTTGCATAGCTTTAGAGATGTACGTAGGTTCATTATTAAGCCCGTTGCCTCGTGATGAAAAAAAAAAAAGAATTTGCTTTACACAACAAATATTTATTTTTCATCATAATCTTCTTCCTTGTCAATGTACTTAATTCAGTAATAAGTATTTAATCACATAGCTCGAACCTTATGCATGGAAACTTACAAATCAAAATTCATTTAATAAATTTATCAAGGTATTGATTATCGATCTGCGTCTATATATGCAGTTATATCAATAAGTCTGTTGCCATTTAAAAAAAAAAAAATTTACACTTTAATATTTATTTTTCGACGTTACCACCTTCCTTGATGAGGAAAACTCATTTATTTTAAGCAAGAAATATTTTTTAACATAATCTTTTTTTTTGTCAATGCACTTAACCCATTGAGCAGTTAGATCGAAATATAACGAAAATCTCTTAATAACTCTATCAATGGATATATTTTGGATTATCCAGCTTCGTACGTGGATACACACACATATATGTACACACACACACGTATATATGTGTGTGTGTAAGTTTATCAATAATCAGCTTAATGATGAAAAAAGCATCTAAGAAAAAGTGTTTTTAACGTAATCCTTGTCAACGCACTTAATCCGTTTGTGAATATTAAAATCATAAGTAGGTATATCAATAAATCTGTAGTTTAATGATGAAAATAAATGATATTTTACAGAACAAAAATATTTACTTTTCAGTCGGAATCTCTTGAAATGGAGGAATTATCATTATTTACATTCAGTCTATTGTCCTCATCTCTGTTGTCATTTGGTTTCGGCCGTTGTTTCCTCCCGTCTTCATCAGGTGTAAGACCATCCAGGTAACATTCAGGGTATTTCGAATTGGACCCATTTATTTAATCAACTGTGAATGTCCCTGAAGTTTACCCGGATCGACAAGCACATGATGAAGGCTGAAAGCACAACGGTCGAAACGTCGCGATAATAGCAACAAAGACGAAGAGAATAGTCCAAGTGTAAATAATGTGAACAATTTATTTTCCAACATAGTCTCCTTCTTTGTCAATGCACTTAACCCAACAGCCGTTATTCATTCTCGTGCGTAAATGTTTCCTCCCCCCACCAAATATGTTTCGTAAAAAAAAAAAAAAAAATATGGAGTCAACGTTTTACATCTCTCTCTCTCTCTCTCTCTCTCTCTCTCTCTCTCTCTTCAGCTTTGAGGAAAAAAATTATAGCTTGCCGTAATGAATGAATTATATTTTACTAGAGATACCCGTGAAAATGCCTCTGTTCATCCTATCTGGTTTTCCTATTTGAATTTTCTGATGAATCTTAATTCTTAAGTTAATGATTGAATAAACTCATGGCGAGTTCTGCGACAATAAATTATCCGTAGAATTTCCCCTATCACATCGTTAAATATTTGAGCTTAACAAGTTTGGCAAAATATTGCAATAACAATCATAAATATAAATGCTGGTCATTATTTTAAGAAGTAAGGGGGTACAAATAAAAAGATTTGAAATTAACAACTTTTTCCATTTCACCGAAACAAACGTTAAACACATGAGAGTGTTATCGCCTCTTCTATCTTCCCTTCTTTCTTTCATATTCTCGCTGAAACCAAGTAGTGTCCTTTCCCCTCTTTCCAAGTTATCAAAACGGAATAGTCCATTATTTATGAGGTATTGAGAGGAGATGTTAAACACTCTTCCCTTCTGTCTTCCCTTCTTTCTTTCTTTAACTCTTTTTTTTTTTTTTTTCTTTATCTCATTGAAAACAAATAGTGTCTTTTCCCTCAATGGAAACGGAATCGTCCTTTCTTTGTGTGGTATTGTCAGTGCGTAATGGTCGTGCGAACTAGTGGAGGGCGGGGCAGTACAACTCTTATACGATAATTAAAATGTGTTTACAAGAAGCAAAAATGCAGTTTTTTTTTTTTGTTGCTTTTTTTTTTTATAGACTTTTAAATATCCTAAATGCGAGGATTGCTCAAGACTTGTAAAGAATGTAATATATTTATAATTAATTAAAATCAACAATTTTCGTGCCCAGAGAAAATAGAACGTTCAGTATTGCGTGCTAATTTAGCCAGTATTATATATATATATATATATATATATATATATATATATATATATAGTGTTTGTATGTGTGAATATAAGAATGATGACTGGTAATTTCACGCTTCAATGTGATCCTGACCTGCAGATCCCTCTGAATCGTGAAACTGCCAATTAATATGCAATGTTGATTCCTATGTCCAGTCTATATCTATAAATGCCCTATAGCAAATCATATATATATATATATATATATATATATATATATATATATATACATACACAAATTTGCATAATAGAGAAATCCCAAATTACCTCATGAGAAAAGGCTATTTCAACTAGTGTTAATGCACTAGCATTTTTCGACTCAATATGTTAGATTAATACAGAGTTAGAAATTTAAAATTAAATATTTAAAAAAAACTAAGAGACAGACGTTGAAAATATGAATTTTAGCTAACCAAACAAAATGCCAAAGTGGTGATAAGGGAAAGCGCATGTTGTCTTAAATGATTGACGCAAGTTGAAATATTCTATAAGGTAATTTTGGATTCCTCTTTTATGCAATTTATATGCTCTGTTATAATAAATACATTGAGCTCTTTTTGTGTATCAGTTTTAATATTTTATATTATTAGGATCCACTTGGATTATATACCAACGGATTTATTACCTGGACTATATATATATATATATATATATATATATATATATATATATATATATGTTTGTGTGTTTGCGCTCACGCGAGTTTTTGTTAAGGGTTACGCTCGCTCTCTGTTACTGTGTATTTATCTACGAATGAAGCTAAAGGCCCTTAAAAACCCGACTGTGACAGATTGAAAAATTGGATAGATTTTCATATTCTGTGAGCGTTCTCAGAGCAATGCAAACCATTTCTTATGCTATTAATTCCTAGTTATATTCTCTCTCTGTCTCTCTCTCTCTCTTTCACGCACGCACACACACACACGCACACGCACTATAGTTCTACCAGTTCTAACCATCACGGCAAAGGCCCGTCATCCCGCGCACAGCGAACCACCCTCATTCCCTTTGTATTCCTTTGTTGAGATGTAAGTTCCACTCGAGCAGTTTCTTCCCACGGACCACTCCTTTGTGGAACCACCTCCCTAAAGAATGCTTCCCCAGTCATTACAATCTTAACCTGTTCAAGTCTAGGGTTAATCGTTATCTTCCTCACATATACCCATAAACTGTGCTTTTTACTCTGTAACTCACTACCTCGAGTGGCTCTTAGGCCTTGTGAAGGGCGAACATTATTGTAAAAACAAAAAAAAATTCAAGCAAGGCGATAATGCCACTAAGACACAAAGGGTTTTAGAAGAGTGGAAGAAAATGAGAAGACGTTAGTGAGGAGAAAGGACAATAAAAAACAGATTTCAGGAAGACAGAAGATTTCGGTTGATGTTGAACATACATTTTTGAAGATCGTATGTGTCAGGGAAGCAATAACCCGGAAGAGAGCTTCATATGCGAGAAAAAAAAAAATTACTGTAATAGAATTCATGATTACATCTCGCTAATTCGACAGTAGAGCAATGAGACCTAATTGCCACTCTAGTACTACCCTTCGATTTCATGTGGTCGAGATATCAATATTTATTTCCGAAATAAAACAGAAAATGTGACAGAAAGCCAAAAGAGGTAGGAGGGTTGGTTATCAATCTGTTTTATATTATACTTAGCTAGTAGTACCCTTCGATTTCATGTGGTCGAGCTACCAAAGAGGAAAGCAATATTTATTTCCGAAATAAAACAGAAAATGTGGCACAAGGCCAATAAGAGGCATGGGGAAGGCTGGTTATCATTCTGTCATATTATACTTAGCTAGCTAGACACAGTCACTGACTCAAACTATACAATATTCCTTACACCAAAACACCAAATTCTTACTTACCCTTCTTACTACAACCACCATAATACCTCAAACTCTATGAAATTCTAACTAGTCCCCATATGTACAATTTATCGGTGCAGGGCCGGAGTAAAGCTCATTAGAACAATTGCCATGAAAATATTTATAGAAACACCACAGGAAAGCCACATCATGGCGGTGGGAAAGTGGCGGGAGTCGAGATGCCAGGACGCGCATATTTGATGGTACATTTTTATGCGGTTTCGGGGGATTTATATAAGGTGTGGGGTGACATGTTTAGATTAACGCCTTTCGCTTCACAGTTTCACACGTCTTTCTTAGAATTCCAACTCATAATTCTCTGATTAATAATCACAATAAAAGTTGGGATAATAGAGTGTGTTTGTCACAGAAGTGGGGGAAAAAAATGTAGAATATGGCGTCAATATTTTACCTTATATTATTGATGCGACTGAGAATTTCCTCGGAGTGTT